AAGTCATGGGCAGGGGAAGGACCTACTGACCCACTGACCCCAGATGTTGTTCTCTTCATTTCACTGGCTCTAGCCTTAAATTCCAAAATTAGAGATGTATTCCTTGGCTATTGGGTAAGGGATTTGTGCTTCGTGAAAAGCATACAACTCACTTGGTGTGAATTAGTTTTTTTGTTTTCCCTTCCTGAGAGCAAAGTTTGATAAAAAGGCAACTTAGTGTGTAAAAGTTAGAGGTCACCATGATGGGAAAAAGGAATTCAGAAAAATCATCCTCCGGGACCTAGAGACTGCAGAAGGTTTCGTGTCCCATATTCTGCTGGGTGTGTGACCTTTCCTCTTCACTTGCTCCAGCGACCTTTGCAATGCAGTGACTCTGCCAGAAGCCCAATGAAACCTCTAAAATAAACACACGGCTCTGACTCCTTACACAACCGGTGAATTACAGCTACTCTCACGGACCTTCCAAGCCCAGTTCTGATGTTAGATAATCCAGGTTCAAATCCAGGCTCCTTCACTTACTTCCCAGCTATGTGGTCCTGGGTAAATTATTAAACTTCTTTCGTCCTCCTTGCTGTTGCTGTTTTAATCGATAAAATGGAGAAATAGTAGCTATCTCAAGCGTGAATAACCATCCATGCAAAGTTAATCTATACAGGTGGGAGTTAGTCAGGATTTCCCTTTATGGGAGCAGACAGTGGAAAGGGCCAAAGAGAAGCTTCTGGAATGCTGGTCATGTCTTTCATCCATATGCTGGTCACATGGACGTGCTCCACTGGTGATCATTCAATCAGCTGTATATGATATCTGAACTACTGCAATCATTATTTTTTTTTAAGTTTTGAGATCATTCATATAAAACACATAGTATTTTATCAGTAGCCAATTGCTCTTTTCCTCTGCTGAGCCATCACTCCTGAAGACTTTTAACTTATTTCCAAATAGGAAAATGAGGAACAAGATCAAACAATGCTCACTAGGGGTGGTCTTGATGGGGCGCTCAATACTTTGCTTAAAGGGCTGGGAAACCCTGCTAACTAGGTGACTTTGGCTATTGTCTCTTATGCTCAGAATGGTTCCCGTGTAAAGATTAGAGCATATTTAGAATCAGTTTCATTTCTGAATTGCTCCTTTTACAAGGGAGAATAGGGGCGGATTGGGAAGATGAAACCTCATAGCACTTTATGTAAGATTGGTAAAGTGTCAAATGACCATATTTGAATTGGAGGCAGGGTGAGGGTGTTGAGGTGGGTGGAAATGATATTGTCCTACAGTGCCATCAAAGCTTGGAATGTGGCTCTAAAAAAGGAGAGGAAAAATTCTAGCAAAACCAAACTGGCATGACCGGATCTCATCATAATACCATAGTTCAAAATGTCTTGACCCAGCACCCCCAGCAAGGTCATCTTGGGAACAATTAGACTTTGGTAACAGGACTTAACCTACCTCAGAATGACTAAGGCCTCTCTAAACCCCATGGTTGGTTAATCATTAATGAAGATTTTTGACAAACAAAGCAGAGCAAGCCAAGAAATAAGGGTGGCTAAAAATTAGCCCAGGAAAGGTCATATTTATTACAAAGGCAGGATTTGATGTTGCTTGTGATTGTGGGTATTATTGTGCGAAATAGAGTGGCAAGGAAATATAATTCCACTGGGGAAGCCAAGGTCTCTCCGAGGATTTTGCCTGCGCTCCTTACTATCCCTTGTTCTTTGGGGTTGGGGGGGGGGAGCGGGTCACAGCCTCCACCGCCTTTATGAGAAGCCTGCATTGCTGTCCTGTGGTGGTGGTGTGGTGCTGTTTATCTAGCTGCAGCTGCTCGAGACCCCACAAGAGGAAGAGATAGAAGATTCTAGAGGCTATGACCCAATAACCTCTGGGCTCTGCCTTTCCCTAAACTCAAGGCTTAAGGAGCAATGACAGGTTTGGCGTTTGGTTTCCAACCTCTGTTGTAGAGAAGTTCACTGCTGTCCACAGTGAGTATAAGGCTGTTATCTGCACTGATGATTGGATGAACAGAGGCAGGGCTCTTTGTCCACTGGGAGAGCCTTGCTGGACTCTTGTCAGGGACTTGCAAGTACCATGCCATCTTTGGGTCCTCGCCTTCCTTGTCCCCTTTCCTCCCTGTTCCTAGATCGCCATGCAGATGTCACTTCCTTTTGGGTCTTCCCTGGGCTGTCTGATGCCTTTAATGTCTCGCATTGTGCTAGCACACAGCTGACCCTCTGCAAATGGTATTTAAGTAAGAATGGGAGAATAAAGATGTACAAAGGACTGGGCTGGAGTGTGGCTCAGTGGTATCATGCTTGCCTAGCATGTATAAGGCCCTGGGTTCCAACATCAGCACCACACTGAAAGTTTTAATGCTTGTTGGAATTAATACGGAGGAATGCATTTGTATTACCATTCAAAGGAGTAAAGGGAAGGACATATATCTTTTAGAAAAGTGCCTATGACATATCAAGTTTTTGAGGATTCATGAACACATCTGAATTTTATAATAACCTATGAAGTCAGCATTATTATCTCTAACTAGTTAAGAAATCAGAGGTGAGGTGTCCTTCCCAAGGCTACATGACTGCTAACCAGCAAGGTCTCCCCTGACCCTGGCCTTCTCTGACTATAGGGCCAGCTAATGTCCTAGACCACGGTGCTTGCACACAGAGGAAAGAATTCGGATAATCACATCTCTCCAGGATTTTGTCATGCAGCATTAGAAATCAGAGCAACTCTGGCTACCTAGAAAGTGAAGAGAATGAGGGTGAAAAGAGAAGGACTGTATCTAGTTTGAATGCTTAGACCTTGGAATGAAGTAAAATATTCTGTGGATGGCCAAGTCTTATTCTATCTTTATTTTTTTAAATTTTATTTATTTGTGTGTGTGTGTGTGTGTGTGTGTGGCCAGCTCAGCCCACCAGGGGGCGGGGCTGGCTGGCGTGGTGCTGGGGGATTGACCGGCGGTCCCTGTGCTTTGCTAAGCTTGTTCTAAGTAGGTGCTTTAGACCACTGAGCCATCTCACCAGCCCTTATTCTATCTTTAAACTTAACCTTATTTTTGATCCTGGGAGTCAGAAGTGGGCCATGTGACAAGAGGAAGGACAAGGACAAAGTGACTACATCTGAGTCATCCTCAGTTATTCCTTTTATTTTTTTTGGTGGAACCAGGTATTGAACTCAGGCCCTTGCACTTGCCAGGGAAGCACTTATTCCACTAAGCCATCTCCCTGGCCCTACTAAATTATTCTTTACATGTTGAAAATCTAACTTTTCAGGGTCAAGGTGTCAAAGTGTCTTTTCACTGAGAGTCATGGTAAAATGACACACTGCGCATAACTAAGAACATAACAACTCTGATGTAGAGTTGATTTTAAAGATATGGAATTTATTAAATACACAAAAAAATTCACACCATGTTACTTGTTCTTTCTGCTAAATAAGTGCTAAGGGCCACTGCCATGATAGTTTTGGAATAAAAAGAGGAGCAGCTACTGAAGAGTTAGATGGGTGAGGCCCCGGCTCTGAGGCCCAGGACAAGCCAAGCAATCCAGAAGGGTACAGCTGATGTCCCAGGACTGCTGGTGAGCTTCTTCCATGGTCTTCAGGACGGCCTTGGAGCCAAAGTCCTCAAACCTCCCAGCACACACCCCTCTGCCAGCCTGACCTCCGCTTCCAAGGTGCAGGCCAAGTGCACATGTTCAGCCTCTCTCCCCTCAGCGCCATTCCCCAAGCTGCAGGTGAAGACACACTAAAAGTTTGCAGAAAAGACACTGTACTTGGAGGTAAGTGTATCTTTTCCCAAAGATTGGGCTTACCCATTTTTGGAGTCAGCTGCTAGAACACAGTGCTGTGAGTCCATACAGATTGGAGCTGTGAATCCTACCCACTGTGTGACCCTGGTTGGTCGCAGAGTCCCCTGCCAGCTTATTTACCACATGGTGCTCCTGAAACGATGGAGCCAGTCTTGTGGGTTACACAGCACACTTGTCCTTTCCTTGCGGACTACTGACCTCCTCCTCCCCCTAGATCTTCAACTCTTGAGTGCAAGAAGAACAAAGCTTGGCTCCTAGAACAGAACCTGGCACCTAGTAGAGGTGTAATACTTGTTTTGTATGATTAATAATGCCTCTTCTAAGGAGACCAATTTAACTTGAAGTGGGACTTTTAAAGGGCGCCTGTACTTTTCTCCTGGAACAAGAAGGGATCAGCGTATCTTGTTGCCCTTAAAAATATTGCCTACTGATCTGTCTTCTCGGAAAGTTGCCAGGCCTGTTCTCAAAAGGTCTTTGTATGTCTAAGAGGAAGCAGGAAGTTAGGATTCCAGGAAATGCAGGCTGGGAGGCCATGGCACTATGTTCAAAGTTAAGGCAAAATTCTTATTCACCAGCAAAGCCACATAGAGCAATTATGAGAAGCACATTAATTCCACTGACAATTAGTCACTTTCCAGTCTCTTGCTTGGCGCTGCTGACAGGTACTGTCTGAAGTTAGTGATGATCTTTACAGAAAAGGGAAGGACAGTTCCATTAACCCCATGGTGCCCTGGGAGACAAAGAACCAAGAAGGCTTTGGTTTCCGATGCAGTGACCAACTTCAAGGTCACCCCAGTACTTTTGTAAATTCTCCAAAGAATTCAAAAGTCATGTGAAGTACTTCCATCTGGAGTTCTGAGAGCAAAGCTCTCGGGGCCATAAACTTCAGCACTGAGGGCAGTGACATGCTTTGCCACATCTTATGCCAATCCAGTGTAGTCACTGAATGTTCAACCTTCTACCACCAGAACCAAAGCTGAAGAATACTGATGACTTACAATTCAACCCTCATACCACCCTCCACAGCAAATCCAAGCTGCATCAGTACCTGGCCCATTTCTCTAACAGAAAATACTGAATGAGTTAATCCCTTTTATACTGTAAGGGTTTTTTCTTCAGTGTGGGGAGAAAAAAAAAAATCAGGACTAAAAAATAAAAAATATACCCCATACCATTTAAAATAAAGTCTTAAAATTGCTTGGAAGAAAGCTTTATTTACTACATACATCCTAAGAATGTACTGCAAATGGAGCAGGACCTAAGAAGCCTTTCAAATACAAAGCAGCTAACAACAACTAATGTACTAGCATGTTTGGAAACAGAACTCTAAATTTTTTTTTTTTAAAAAACATTTATATAGTTTGTTCTTAACCCTAAAAAAAAAAAAAAAAGTTCACATTTCAAGTTATAAACTTACCCCAGTAGTGTACTATGAAATGGTTGTTGAAACAACAGAAACAGACCACAGATAGGCTCAGTGATACTCCACTGGCCATCACCAACATTTGTTTTTAAGGTAGTTTGGTAGTGGCCATGTTATCCTTTTTTTTTTTTTTTTCTCCTTCTTTTTGTTTTGTTGTTTTGCAAAGAACTCACAAGCACATGTAAAATACAGTAAGAACGCTGGGTCAGAGTTTCATCCGGTGAAGCTCTGTGGATACCCTTCCCTGGAAGGACAGTACTTCTTTCACACAAGTCAAGAGATGAGGATCCAATCCACACTGCATTTTGCTGGAACATCCATTCCAACAGGCTTGAGTTAGGATGCAGCTTGCTGGGTGCCTCACCGGGAGCATTGCACAATTACTTTCTGTCATTTAAGAACGATGGAAAGGAACAATAGGAATGTTTAGAGGCCTCAGCAGGCACTCAATAATTTTATAGAATAGTTAAATAAATATTCCTTACATACAAAAACTCATCAAGCTGAGGGGGGGAAAGGGCATTTGGGAATCTCTTAATTAAAACAAAACAAAACAAAACAAAACAAAAAAACAACCTAAAAGTGTTTGCTAAGGGCATGGTCCTATTAATTCACAAGTAAGAATTCAGCCATCAACAGAAGAACTCCAGTGAGTGCAAAGAGCTGACGGACCTCTAACATGACACAGACAAACAGTTGTGTATCTGTCACCTATTGCACACCTCATTTCCTTGATAGAGCCTTGAAGAACAATCCAAGTTGATGTATTTCACAAAACAGATGATGATCTGAACATGTTACTGTATTTTACATTCTGGCTGCTGAACAAAAGCCTTTTAAAACACTGCAACAATATATTCACTTCCTAATAAAACAAACCCTTCTAACAGCACTGAAATAACATGGTGTTATTTTGTATTAAACTACATAACCTGGAACTTCTGCAACATAAAAGGAGTCAAAACTTAAAGGATATTTACAAATTTTCTTTGAACTCCTCTGGTCTCTCCTCCTGGACTTGCATGGTCCAAGTTCATTGCAAGTGCGCAGAGTCGAGGACAGATAGACATTAACGCTTGACAGACACAATGTCGCTAAAGCCCTCCTGCCCACACACATTTTGTATGAAACATGGTAAGATGACCAGAAGCTTAACTGTCTGCTGACTAGAGTCCCTAGGGTCTTGTCTACAATGATATACATTCTTTGTCTCTAAAAGTCATACTTCAAAAACAAATAAAAGCATTAGACAGGGAATTAAGGTTTTATATCAGACAAATAGCTATGCAAAGATGTCTTAGGCAAACACAATAAAACCTTGTGCTTACACATACTCTGCTATTGAAAATAGCACATATAGAAGAGAATACACCTCCCCAACCAGAACAAAAAAATACAGCAAAACAAAACTCCAACAAAAACCTAGGAAGAAGTATAAAAGCCACCGGTTGTTTTCTCTATCAGAGTTCTTCATTTGTCCCAGCCTTGCCAAACTTGGCAGCTGGGTGGGGGTCAGGCAGAGGTCATGGTGTGATAGGCACAGCGAATGGAGAAGGCACAGGAGGAGCCCAAGGAAGTGGTGGCAGGGGAGGGTTTTCCAGTGTCTGGACACAGTTTGTGGCGAGTCACTCCCGTGTTGGCTGAAGGAGACATCGAGTGTTTGATTGTAACACCCTCAACCCTTAATGCTGGTGGAAACATAGCAGAGGTTTTACTCATTTAAAAAATTGCACTTTCCAGTATCACTTTTAAAATAACATCTTATGTAGTATTTTAAAGCACTATGGTTTGTATCTTTAAATATTGAATATAGTTTTTCAAAATAGTTCCCTAGCTGCTCAAATGTGCTTTCTTTTTAATATATAGCTGATATATTATTGAAGATACTACAAAATAGAAATATCTGGAGTGCAGAAGTTAAGAAAATAACCTTCATACTGAAAATATATCCTTAAAAAACAAACAAAAAACAAAACCTCTATATAAATGTAGTATAGCATAAACATTTTTTAAAAGATGGCATTAAGGCATGGACCACTGTAAGTCTTATAGAAATGTATGAACACAGGCCTGTGAAGTGGAAAATAGTCTTTACTAGTGAAAAACTTCATGTATATAAAACATTTCCATGTAGTATCTGATAACATTCTTCACTTTCTGGTTTCGTATGTGCGCTGATCCAACATGTTCTGTCTTCATAAATAGTAAAGCGTTCCTTCAGTGGTCTTTGGGCTTGTCTTTCGCTGGTCACCAGTCTCAGTATGTCTGGTAGACGTCATGAATGGGGACCTGAATAGCAGCAGCGGGGAAGGCCTGAGGTATGTAGCCCGCGGCGTACCCTCCGTACACGGCAGCTGCAGCCGCCGCGTTCTTCTGTAGTGTGGCAATTGTGGCTGTGGCCGGAGCAGCAAAAGGGACATAACTGGCCCCGTAGATGCCGGCAGTGTGAATTCTCTGCACATTTGGGGCCACTGTGTACACCGGAGTTATTGGGCGTCCCTGAGGAGGAGAGAAAAAGGAAACCCGTCCTGAGCGAGTATGTACACCATGACCATCATTCGTTCAGCAAATACCTCTCTGGAGCACAGAGCAAAGCCTTTCAGTCTCAGGAAAAAAGAGGCAGAGAAACAAGCAGCAGGGTAAGAGTCACTGAAGAGGCAAGGGGGCGCCTCAAGGTGGCACTAATTCATCCACATTCAACTACGCTACCTGGGGTGGAGTGACGTAGAAGCCTGAGGCAAAGTCGGGCTGCTCGGGCATCTTCTACCCATCATTCCATTCAATCAGCCCATGCTGCAGAGTGAGCTCCACAGGGGATCTGTGACTCTCCCCTCACACAGGGTATCTGTAGAATGTTACAGATGCTCCCAGAGGGAGCATCTTCCCCAAAACACCCTCCCACCCCCCGACAGGTCAGCTGCCTCAACACTTACTTGACTGATAGAATGTGATCTGTTTCTAACCTAAACTGCAATGCTTACAATTCTGGGACCACACACACTTTGCAGCCAATGTGATTGCTGGTTCCCACCTAAGATACAACACTACTACATGTACAGCATGGTGCAGAAGATTCCCGAAGGCATCAACTTGGGAGCTGGAGCAACTGGGAGCACTGGGGCTGACACTGGAGGAAAAGAGGAGTTTGCAGATAAGAAGGAAGTACAAGTCAAGCTAAGGAAAGCTTCCCCAGTGGAGGTGACCATCACAGCCCTGTCCTAGTCCCCACTATGTCCTTCCGTGTGCCTGAGAACAGAACCTACCCTTTTTTCAGTACACAAAGGAGTCAGACATAAAGTCTGTGAAGTTCAGTTATTCCCAGAGTTCAGCATAGCTCTAGTTTCTGGGAGTTGCTTCATTCAAAGGGGGATTTTGGTAAAATAAAAATACATTTAACAAGATATTTAGTGTATCTAACATTCTACAGATACCCTGAACTAAAAGCTGGTTTGATCTCTTCATGCATTATCATATCTTCAAAATACTTATGTTAGAGTGTATGAAATGCAAAGTTAGTTTTAAGATCCTAATTCTTCCTGGATCCTTCTAGAGGAATTAAGATATTTCACTTACCAAATCTGTAAGGCAGTCTCGCAGAATCATACTTAAAGGAACTTCTAATTTAGGAATACTGTTTTCACCTAGAGTCACAACAGTAACTACAGAAATGCTCATTCTGACAGCAGGAGCAGGAGGCTCTTGTCGGCCAGCCCTGCTCTACGGGCCTTATTTGGGTGCCAGGGGCATGTGGGCCCATCACAAGCCGCACTGAAGCTTGTGGAGAGGTGTGGATGTGTTAAGGGACTTGCATGAACTGACACAGCTGTTGAGCAATGTGTGGTCAACATCACTCTACCTCCCATAAGGCTGTGCAAGAGACAAGAGTCTTGCTGATCACTCCTTACAGCCAGAGAGGTGAGCCTGGGAACGGGAGGAGAGTGCACAGCACACGAGCAGCCTTCCCCCAACGTGTGGCTGCAGGGCTAGCAACAAAGGCACAAAGGCAGAGAAGGGCACCCGAGATGCCAAGTGGCCCTGGTCCTGCCCACACCTAGTACAGGCTGCTCAAGCCAGGCACATCACTGTGCAGATCTCTACCCAGCCTGATGAGGACAGACCAGACTGGACGGCCAAGAGTTCTTGGTGGCCCAAACTGCTGTTCTAATCTGGATTGTGACCTCAAGGTTGAAACACCTTAAGTAAGGGACACTTTTCATGCTGTTCCCAACATACCACGAGGGGTAAGCAACTACCTTTACTAATAGTTGAGTAAAAGCAGACCTAATCTAACCTACATATTATTTGTAGTAACACCTACGGGGAAACAACAGCCTCAACAGCCAATCAGACAATGATAAACACCTGTCTAAAAAAATCCATCTGCCATCTAACATCTACTTGCAAACCAAATACCAGGTAGTGAATGCCTGTGATCACAGCACTCTGAAGGCTGGCACGAGGATCTTGACAAGTGTGGTGACACACGCTTATAATCCCAGTACTGGGGGTGGGGGAGACTAAAGCAGGAGGATCACAAGTTCAAACCCAGCCTGAGCAATTTAGTGCTTTAGCAAGACTCTGTTTCAAAATTTAAAAGGGGGAGGAGGGCTGGGAAAGTAGCACAGTGGGTTCAATCCCCAGCGCTGACATAAGAAGATGCCCCAAATTCAAGGCCAGCCTGGGCTACACAGCAAGATCCTGTCACAAACTGAAAAAAAAAAGCCCTCAAAAACTGCTTCTAATCTAGGGAAGGAAATTGAAACCATGGATTAAATGAGATTGGAGCAGGTCTGTGAATTTTACTTCCTCCTCCTAGCCCAGATTATTGTGTGCACTGAGGCTTGTAAAGATTATTACTAACAGCTACATACCAACCACGGTCCTCCCCGATTCGTTTCATGTCACTTGTTTTGGTTCTTACTCTCTTCCCCCTAACTTTGCTAAGAACCCTTTTACATCAGCAGGGGCAATGCACCCTTGTCATAAGTGACATTTCCAGGTAAGGGACGTGTGCTGCAGCCTTGGCTGCAGCTAGCAGGCTTGTGACCTTCCGCAAGGAATACAGGAGGAACAGAGGAGGGAGGAGAGGTGGGAGTGGATGTGGGGGAGAGAGAACTGCAGTTTCCCTGCTGTCAGAGAGGACTGCTTATCCCTGCTCTGCCTGCACCTTTCTGTCAAGAATGAGAAAAGTGTAGGTCGACACTGGCAAATTTTCCTCTGGTGCTTTTCAAGCCTGCATGAAGTATTGGATATAAAATGGCAAAACAGGGTCTCAAGCAGGGAGGGGTATGAGAGTTATGCCACAGGAGGTCCTAAAAGCCACCCTGGGTGTCAATTTCCAGGGTGACTTGGGCAGGTGCTCTCCTCACCAATCAGTGCTGCCTGAAATGCTCCACCCCCGGCTGCCATCAGGCAGAACTCAGAAGCAGCAAAAGCCGCAAGGCAGAGCCCAGGTGAGGTCAGGACACTCAGACCTGAGAGCGCCATGGCCCCACAAGTCAGCTGCCTGGGTGTTGTGCAGAAAGTCCTGGAGGAGGAGCAAGCTGCCACGGGAGACAACTCACTGGCAACGGTTGCTCTTAGCAGATTCACAAGCAAAGACTATGACGGAGGGATCTGCTGGCCACATACAGTGCAGATGGGAGCGCCATCGGGAGGTGTGGAACTGAGTGTGATTAGGGGCCTGGAGTGTGGGCCTGCTGAGAAAAGAAAGCTCCGAGGAAAGAACGGAGAAATTACTACTGTGTGCAGCTGGATGGAGGGAGTAACTGCTCATGTGCTATAGCACAGGAGGGTAACTACGGATGACAACAATTAATTATAAATCTCGGAGAAGCTAGGATACAGGATCCTGAATGTTCCCATGACAAGTGGCAAAATGTTTAGGGTGCTCAGTATGCCAATTACCTGATCTGACCATTATACATTATATATGTATGTATTAAAATATCAATATGTGGGGCCAGGGAGATGGCTCAATAAAGGGTCTGAGTTCAATCCCCGGTTCCACCAAAAAAAAAAAAAAAAAAAGATATGTACTCCATACATATGTATGATTTTTGTGTTGATGAAAGTACTAAAGAGACTGACTATCTGAAATGCACTGAATTTTACTTTAAAGTTATTATGGACATTTATGATCAATCCCCAAGTAACAATTAAACTTAGTTGTCATACAGTGTGAGTCATGTACTATCTTTTTTTTTTTTTTGTAGTAAGAGAACATGAGTTAAAGAATGCTCAATGACATACACATGAATTAGTTGACTTAATCCTTTCTGAATTACAGTCAAGACTTGGTTCAGTGCAGGCCAAAGCAAGGGAACAGCATCCCATCAGTTCTCCATCTGCCTGGTTCTGTTTTAGAATTACAAGGCACTGGCATGAAGTATCAATTGTAAGGGCTGGGGAGATAAGTAGAGTAAGTGCCGACCTGGCAAGCACAGGGTCCTGAGTTCAATCCCTGGTAGGAAGGAAAAAAATTGGCAGCTTGGGGGTTAGCTCAGTTGTTTAAGTGCCTGCTCTGGCAAACCCAGTCAGGCACACGGGACCCCAGTTCAATCCCCAGCTCCACCTGCCCTTAAGGCAGCCTAAGCCAGCCAAACAAACAAACAAACAAAAAAACCCCAAAACAATAAAAACAACAAAAAATAATTAAGTATCAATTCTAGAACCCAGTCACATTCAATCACACTGCAGCCTTCAAGGTCTAGAGCCTCGGAATCTGGCTAATTTCATTCACTTAGATGGGAGATCCTGGGCTTGAGTATTTGTGATTGGTGGCAACACAGCTGTGGTTCACTGTGTAGGTGTCTCCCCAAGAAGAGTGTCTCTATCAAACATATGCACTCCCCATCCACTGTGTACTGAAGACAAAAAGAAGCCTGGGACAGAGCCTGGTCTGCAATGGCTTCAACCTGAACCCGAACACACTAGCATCTGCAGCTGTGTCCATGTGGTAAAGCAGCAGGGAGAAGCATAGCGCAGAGGATTTCCCTAGGCTGACTAGTGAGAGGGCTCCACAGTAAGGCTGAAGTGGGGAAGGAGAGCAAACAGGCAGAGGAGCTTGGGAAGACAGGGGGATGCGGTGCTACAGCAGGAAGTGGAATAAAGGCAGATTTTATAAAAGTATCTGTACCTGCACAGTGCTTTTTGTGTACATGCACACACAATACGTTTTACACACACACACACACACACACACACACACACACACACACACACACAGTAAACATTTTACAAAAACCTCCTTGAGCTACAATTAGGAACGTGAAATTATGAATGATCTCCCTGAACTCTGTGTATTAGCTCCTTTAAAACAGGAGGTAAATATTTTTTCATGGACACTTAAAAAAATACAGAAATACATTGCGACACTGTAAAATCATGCATCACATTTGTATATTGCATCCCATCCCTAACACAATGATGCTACGGTGGAACAGTTCTTATTAAAAGTTTCCTTCCTGTCATGGTTCGTGTTAGGCCTTTTTAAGGGCCAAGAGGGAGCTCAGAGGTGGAGCATTTGCATAGCATGCTATGAGGCCCTGGGTTCAATTCCCAGCAATGCAAAAACAATTTTCTTAATATAAATGTCATCCAATCTCATAGTTCTGACAGAGAAGCAGGCACAAATAAATCCACAGTGCTGACCACTACATCAGTCCATGAGAGAGAGAGAGGCCGCACACACTGGTGTCACCGAGGCAGCAGGAACCCTACCTGGAAAGGTGGCGGCGTTGAGACGGCAGGAATGATGGCAGCGGCGGCTGCGGCTGCAGCCGCAGCGCTGGCTGGGTCTGGCTGCACTGCAATGGGGCTGATCATGTGCTCCATGGTGTGAATTTTGCCATCTTCAATCATTTTAGGGGCCGGGGCTGCCTGAAACATGGAATACTGGGGCCCAATGGCAGGGATGGCCACTGCAAGAGAAGCAAGGGGGAAAATGGATCTATCACTTCCAGTCACGGAGGAGGCGTCTATAGTTGCTCTGTGATAGCCCACGAAGCCCAGGCCAGTGCCACAGTCCTCTCCCTGCTAGCGAATGCACTCTCAGCACAAGCCATGGAATGAGGGCCTGCCTACAAGAAAGGGGCAGGAGAAGCAGGGACGGTCCTCTGGAGCCACCGGGTATAGAGTCCCCCAACAGAGCACAGCAGAAGGAAAATTTATTTTTTTACTTTTATATTTTTTTTGCAGAACCGGGGATTGAACTCAGGTCCTTGCACTTGCCAGGGAAGCGCTTATTCCACTGAGTCATCTCCCCAGCCCCTCATAGAGGAAAATTTAGAACTAAGTTTTAGCACAAACATTTCCTAACCTTTCTACTTAGAAATCTCCCTTTGAATCTTACCTTGATGCCAAGTGGAGCAAGAAAGGCCTCTGACCTGGGAACACGGGCTCAGGCTGAGAGTAAGTGTGTCTATTCATTCTTGTTCTCTCACCTGGAACCACATGGGCCTGCTCTTTCTTTCTTTCTTTTTGCAGGGTGGAGGGGAGGGGCAGGGAGCATAACCAGGAATTGAACTCATGACCTTGTGCTGCTGAGCTAAATCCCCAGTCTGAGTTTTTTTCATTTTTACCATTTTTAAGAAGCAGGTGGTAGTGGTGACTACTTTCCCTAACACCTCAGATCTGTGTACATCTTTCCTGTCCTATATTTCCCATTTCAATGTGATCAATTCAAGGAGGAAAGAAATTCAACTTTAAAAATGGAAAACTCTCTAATTTTCTTATATCCATTTATAGTCCTAAAGCACTGGAGTGACCCCCCACCCCCACCACCAGAGGAACCCGCCAACTCAAATAATTTCTATGAGTGAAGTCCAAAGAACTGATTTCAAACATAAATTCAAACAGGTATCAATTATTAAGGTCAATGTACAATAAGGAAAGGGCAAAAGGAAAAGACACCGGTCCAGATTTGTGGGAGTTTGTGCATGTGTGTCCTTGTGATTTGAAAGGACAAACAAGCACAGGAAATGTGTATTCAAACCATCCTTTCATTTAGGTTTCTTCTCTAACTCTAGGTACATTTATCCTAATAAAGACTCACTTGATCAAAGGTAAGGAGACAAATGACTGTAAGCTAAACAATGGAGTAGCCGTTCAATAAAAGATATCTGAAACCTTAGCCAAATATTTTATCTGCCTTTCCAACCATATCTCCCACTGGTCCTCTGCCCACAGTGCTTCACCCTGACTGGTTGCTTCTAGTAATACAAGGCCTAATTTCCTGGAAGATCAGAAATGAGAGGCCAGGGAAGGTTGTAAGTTTAGGTCACAGGGGGTTGTATGAGCTGCTTTGGCCACCTGTTCTTAGGAATCTCTACCTTGGGCTTCATATGACTGAAGTTTCTTTTTTAAAATATGGAGATATATATCTTTTAAAAAAAATATATATATATATATTTTTTTTTTTTTGCATTGGGAATTGAAATCAGGACCTTGTGCTTGCCAGGCAGGGGCTGTGCCACTGACCTATATCCCTGGCCTTCTTTTTCTTTAAATCATGCTCTCTTCTGGTTATCTAGAGCTACTTCTTCTTTTTTTTTTTTTTTTTTTGACCGGGGGTTGAACTCAGGTCCTTGTGCTTGCCAGGCAAATGCTTATTCTACTGAGCCATCTCTCGGCCCCTAGAGCTACTTCTTTAGAAGTCCATTTCCCAATGAGTATAATCCCAGTATGGAGCTGCAAGAGCTAGGCCAGCCAAAGTTACGCTGCTCAGAAGGGCAGTACCAGCGTGTACACGGAAGTTCAGTGCAAGGAGACATTTCACTGCAGGGACAGCAGGATTTTTTCTCACAGGACAAAAAGGCATCAGCGGTCTCTTCAAAAGGAGGCTATCTGTGAGAGGGGTCAGTCCTCAATGAGGCAAAGTCTGAGTGGCTGAGCTCTTTACTTCCCCTCTGTGGGGGCAGGCTGCTGGTCTGGAGTGGGATGCTCAGGTAGCAAAGACTGAAGCTTCCGGCTTTTCAGGCTTGTGTGGTGTGTGCTGAAAGCCAGCAGCTGCTGCACTCGCCGAACAAACAGGGTTAAAGTTTCTCATCGGACCAAAGGCCCTGCCTCCCGTTAGGTAACCAAGGGTGTTAACAACCTTGGCAAACAGGTTTGTGGGCCCTGGAGGTGAAAGCAAAGTTCAAGGTCCCTAGCTCAACCGCTTCCTCTATTCTAGATACACCCATCCAGCAGGTTCCAGGCAATCAGCAGCTGCAAGAACTTTCACTACTGCCCTGTCCCCCAGACTTATTTGCTCAGCTTACAACAAGGGACAAATGGTGCTCTTTCCACTGGAAGGGGAATTTCCAGCTGTCAGAACTGGTAATGATGCTGAGTGTGGTGGATCACACCTGCAATCCCAGAACTCTGGGGGGAGGGAGGGCTCTGAGGCAGGAGGATCGCAGTGTGAGATGAAGACCTGGGCAATTTAGCGAGACCTAGCACACATGAAGACTTAGTATCAAGTTCCAGCATCACTGAAATGAAAAGAAACAAACAAAAAGAAATTAACTGGTCTGACGGTTGGGATAGAACTAGGCCAGAGTAAGGACAAAGCAGGGGTTACTGGCTGCCAGTGAGAAAAGCAACTGATTACTGTGCAAATGGAAGAGGAGCCCAGAGACTTGGACTCCTTTGGGGAGGGGGCTGGAGTTCAGGCTGCATGAAATGCAATCCTGCTGCCGTTTATACTGACCTGTACCAGGTTTAATGGCAACTGGATTGACGGCAGAGATTTCCAAATTCGGCACAAGTTCATAACCTTTTTCCTGCTGCTTTCCTTTTCCTTCGTGATATCGGCTGTAGATTCCACGGCCGGCAGAATATCCCCCGAGGTAGGAGCCCCGGGGCCCTGGGGCTCTGTTGCCAGCCATGCCTCGCCCCCGGCCTCGTATGCTGCCTGCTGGTGACAACACAGAAGGATGAGTAAGCAGCAGACAGGGCGGGAGGCAGCCCTCGGCTCCAGGCCCTGGGCTCTTGGTGTGCCCTGTGTCCAGCTATAGTACCCACAGGCTTGGTCTTCAATGGGTTTGTAAAGTCTCTTCCAAACACTATTTCAGCCTAGCTAGGCGCCGTAGGCCTGTGTGCTTAGCACAGGAGACCAACTTGCAAAATGGCTCCCTAAGATTGTAAAGGCAACTGCAGTAAAGAATACCATCCAGAGTGTAGAACAGTCAGACCTAGAGAGGGATCTCCTAGTCCTCCCTTCTCATTTTATGCTTGAGGAAACAGCTAGGGACTTGAGGTGACTGATTAAAGTCACAGGCCAGTGATCGGGAGGGCAGGTCCCAGAGCCCGGGCCATGTCTTCCAGAGGCAGGCTTGCTCTCATCATTTCGTAATCACTGCCCAAAAACAACAATAATAAAACATATTCCTGGACTGACATCTCCCAGACAGAACTTCAGAAGACTTTTAACCTAAGTTCCATAAGATAGGTGGACCTGCCCCAGGCGTAGGCTTTAGTGGGGAAATGGGGCTCCTTGGTTTACCGTTTCCCTCACAATAATCTGTATGTATTTCCCTCTACAGAGCTACACGACTGAAGGCCAAAGAGCCCACAAAGAGAACCCAGACCTGAATCCAAATGCAGGGGGCTCAGCTTCTGCCAGCTCAGTAACCCCAGCCACTGCACCGAGCAGGTAGGCAGGCGGGGCTCTGGGGCACCCCGGAACAGAGTCTCCACTAACCTTTCACAAAGTAGTCCCTGTTGGGCCCGATGAGCGCGTTGTAGGGGTAGCCGTAGTAGGCAAGCGTGTAGGGGTCGCATGAGTACACGTAGCTGGGCGGCTGCGCTGCAGCCTCGGCCGCACCCCCGCCCTTGGCTGCTTTCTGGTACCGGGAGTACTGCTCCTTGTCCACCGGCTTGGCCAGCGTGACCTCGAGGCATGAGCCCTCCAGTTCGGTGCCATTGAGGTTGTTCATGGCCTGCACGGCGTCCTCACGGCTGGTGAAGTGCACGAAGGCATAGTCGCGGATCTTCTTGACGCGCTCCACGCAACCGGGGTTGAACTGGCCGAAGCTCTTCTTGATTGTGTCCTCGGTGGTCTCGATCATGAGGTTGCGCACGTAGAGGATCTTCACGGTCTCCATCACGTCCTCGTCCACGTCGATCTCGGGCTCGGCCCAGTCCACAGCAATCTGGTGGCCCCACAGCTGGATGCGGCCAGGCATGAGCTTGCGGCGCGCCATGGCGGCAGCGCGGTGGCTCTCGTACTCCACGAAGGCGAAGCCGCGGTTCTTCATCTTGTCGGCTGCACTGGCGTACACGATGACGTCCAGCACGCCCTCGGTGACCTTGGCGATCTCCTCCAGGATCTCCTCGCGCTTCTTCATCTTGGGGATGCCACCGATGAAGAGGCGGCAGTTGTCCACGCTGCAGCACACCCCCAGCAGCCGGCCAGGCCGGATCTCGTAGTTGTTGAGCTCGCGCACAGCGCGCTTGGCCTCGTTCTTGTGGCAGTACATGACGAAGGCATAGCCGCGGTTCTTGCCGTCGAAGTCCATCATGAGGCGCAGCTCGTAGATGCGGCCCACGGCCTCGAACACGGGCACCAGCTCGTCCTCATACACGTCGCGCGGGATCTTGCCCACGAAGACCTCGCAGCCACGCTGGGGGTGCGGGCCCTCCCAGCCCGGGGGAGGCCCGCCGTATTTGCGCTGCCCATTCTCCTGCATCATGCTGTAGCCAGTGCGCTCCATTAGCGCCACCAGGGCTGCCTCGTTGGGCGCACCCGCCACCCCCTCGGGCACTTTGGCCGAGGCCGCGGAGGCCGGCTCGCTACTCATGGCTGCGGTGGAATCCTCTGCGGTCATAATGTCACAGGCATCCACGGCTGGGGACACCTGGGGAAAAAGAGGAGCGTGTGCATCAGTGGGGAGCCCCAGCTCAGCTGCGCAGGTTCTCTTTGGACCCGGAAGAGTGATAGAGAGTCATGCTTCTAAATAGGCGTGGCATCCTAAGTGGGAAGGCCGAGGGCATTCTCTGCATGCAGCAGGCCTAAAATGGTCCATTGCGCAGGATTGGGGTGGAGCAAACAAAACAAAAACCAGAAGTGACCCAGTGGGGGAAAACAATAGCACGAGCAACTACTTCCGTTTCCTCAGCCTTCCCTCAGTTGTGAGGCTCAGAGAACCCACAGAGGTTAAGAAGATGAGCTACACAAGCAAGCCGGTGACGAGACAGTTCTTAAAATTTAAGTTCTTGAAAACCTTAAATTCCTACAGCAAATACTATGTTATGCTGAACTCCCGCTCTGTCTACGCAGATCGATTTCTTTGAACATTTTGAGAACCCAATTTATCTCTGACATACATAGCCATTTTCTTTTTAAATATGCATTCTTTCTCACTGTAGGAATAGAAATAGAGCCATGGAATTATTGAAGAAAATTTGGGGGAGGTGTTATTATGTAAATCACAGCAGAGCTTGGGACTGATGCCTTGACAAGGATGGGTAAGGTACGCGTTCCCAAGGATGTCACGCACATTCTTAGTTTTGGACTCCGCAATCTGTGCAAAGCTAGATGAACTTCAAGCCCGCAGATTTGGGAAGCAATGCCTCTCAGGTAAAGCACCCTACAGTATCCAAAGAACTGTCTCGTCACCTGCATGCCTGTAGCTCATCTTCTTAAGCTCTGCCTTGGAAGGGGCAGTCAGTGGCTTGCCTGCCTGCACGGAAGCAGACCCAGGCAGCTTACAAAGTACCCATTTCCCACAGCCAGGGCCAGCTAATGGGAGGACTTGATTCTAAGACTTCCGGCTCCAAATTCTGTATTTTTCCTCCAGCATGGGTGGGGCAAACTTGGAGGAAGAGTTGCTGCCAGTCATAACTACTGAGATTTGCAGTGGGGCTTATGTGGTGAAAAAAACTGAACAATTTTACTTCAAATAAAATTAAGCAGTAGTAGGTCTGAAGTGTGCCCACCTTCATTCTGATGGTACAGGGCTCTGTAGAAACGGTTCCAAATTATACCGTAAGGTTATCATCAAGAGATTGGGATGGCTTACATAGTGCATGTGTGGCCATCCCTCCTACTGCAAAAAGTGAATATACAAATAGAGGTTATCACCAAGAGCTGAATTGCCATGCTTTTGTAAAAAAGCTCCACCTGGCTTTTTTAAAATTTATTTTTTTAATGTACTTGGTACAGGGTCTCACTAAGCAGCCGAGACTCCTAGTGATCATCCTGTCTCAGCCTCCCACCTCTAGGATTATAGGCGTGTGCCACCACACCTTGTCTCGGTGTCCTAGGGGTGGGCCTAGGGGCAGGGCCAGTGTGGCATGTGCTACCAGGATCTGAGCTCCGTCCTTGAGCTTGCCTAAGTAGGCACTTAGTCCGCTGAGCTATCTCACTGGCCCTCCAATTGTCTTTTTCAAGAAAAATGTCCAGCTGGGCATGGTGGTGCAGGCCTGTAATCCCAGCACTCCGGGAGGCGAAGGCAGGAGGATCGCAAGTTTGAGCCTAACCTAGGTAACTCTGTGAGATCCTGTATCAAAATAAATAATAATAATAAAGAGCCTAAAAGGTGCAGGTACCAAGGGTTTGGTCCACAGGCCTGCTGTGCCGGCCCCACCCCCAGGGCTGCTGAGACAGCAATTGAGACTGGGCATGGTGGCACACGCCTGTAATCCCAGCACTTGGGAGGCTGTAAACAGGCAGATCACTAAGAGTCAGATCTAGTGAGGCCCTGAACACCCTGTAGACCCTTCCCTAACATACAAATAAATAAATAAAAATAAAAATAGGGCTGGGAATATATAACTCAGAGCAAAAGCCCTCGGTTGGCTTAATGCCTAGTACAGAGGGAAAAACAAGCCTATTTTACTTTCTGACAATTACATGTTATAGGAAATTAAGAAACAAAGAAGCCAATGCCAGAATTAAACTTTCTATTGTATTTTAGTTTTCTCTTTCATTTTTTTGAGGGAGGTAGTGTGGTCTGGTATAGAGCTTGGCTTCTTACAAATCTATTTCCTTTTTTTTTTTTTTTGTGGTACCAGGGATTGAATTTAGGACCCTGTACTTGCCAGGCAGGTGCTTATTCTACTGAGCTATCTCCTTGGCCCACAAGTCTATTTCCTACTGTTTTATATTTTAGAAGCATTCCTTTATGTTTTCATTCTTTATAAAAACATTTTTGAGGCACGAGGGTAGTAAATTCAAGGTCATCCACGCTACTTAGCAAGTTCAAGACTGGCCTGAAATCCATACTGAGACCCTGTCTCAAAATAAAACAAAACAAAAACTAAAACACAAAGAGAACATCACATTTAATGGGAAAATGAGCTTTCATTTAACAAGAACCAGAAGCATTATTCATTTTTTTAAAATTCAGTATTCTAAATTGCATGAGACTATTTTTTATTTTTATTTTTTGAAAACTGGGGATTGAACTCAGGCCAGGGAATTGCTTATTCTACTGAGCCATCTCCCTGGCCCTGAAGAAGTTATTCTACCTGTTCATTTGAAACTTTTTTCTTTTTTGGTCTTTTTGAGACCAGGGCTTTACTATGCAATTCAAGCCAGCCTTGAACTCTCTTTGTAAGCCAGGCTGACCTTGAACTAATGGCAATCCTCCTGCCTCAGCTTCCTGCCACCATGCCTGGTGGAACAAGACTATTATGGTGAGTATAATCATTAAAGTAAAAGCCCTCAAACTGTAGGTAACAAAACAAAAATCTGAGCGATTTGCCTCTTGGCCTGAAATAGTCCTCTGTGGCTTCACTTGTGGGGTCAAGAGATGGTGGATGACTGTGGACTCCAGAGCCAGGCTATGTGGCTGTGTGAGAGCCCTGGCTGTGTCACTTCCTAGTTGCATCATTTGCAGCGAGGACATTTAGAGGCTTTATGTTTCAGTTTCCCTACGCAACATAAAATGGGACCATTTCCAGGCACGGTGGCACACGCCTGTAATCCCAGCACTTGGGAGGCTGAGGCAGCAGGCTTGCTTCCAATTCAAGGCCAGCCTGGGCTACACAGTTCAAGGCAGTGAGGAAGGCCTTGCCTCAGAAACCCAAGAGCAGGCGAGGATGCTACCAAAAATATTAACCACATGAAGTTCAGCAGGCAAGTCACTTACTAGCCACAAAGACCTTTGATTTTTCCTACAATGCTGTCAATGCTTGAAAATGCTTTAAGAGGTGCATTTTAATCTTTCATCTAAACTTTCATAAAGGGGCCAGGGAGATGGCTCAGTGGAATAAGCGCTTCCCTGGCAAGTGCAAGGGCCTGGGTTCAATCCCCGGTTCTGCCAAAAAATAAATAAATAAATAAACAAATAAATTTAAAAAATTCCTCCTAGCTCAGCCTTCCAGACTGCTAGGATTACAGATATATCCATGCCAGCTAATATTCTCTTCAGATAAAACGGAATTCACATTTTGTTTTCCTAACTATACTATGAAACTAGGATTCTTAGCTAGAAAATCTTAGAATGGTCAAGCTGTGAAGGCATTTCTAATTATAACCCCAATAATTTATTCAGAAATTATGTTTGCTTTTAATCTGATATTTGTTGGTGTCAACACAATTATCTCAAAAACTATAAACACTTATGGCTTATTTCTTACATTCTCAAGCCTCAAGAAGGCTACTTTTCCCCATGCCTTCATTGTCTGGAATAAACAAACTGTGCTACTGCCCCTCTTCCTCCTTTTTTCTGTGGCCTCTAGGAAGCTCAGGACTGGTTGGCTCTTGCAGGTTTTATAACTACATGGGACATCAACACACTTCCATGCTTATATACTTTGGGCTGTGCTTTCCTTTTCTCCCTATCTTTTATGTTCCTAATGCCATGAATTTGAGCTCTTTACATTTTATTCTTCACATATTCATAGAATTCTGTTATCTCAAAAATCCTGAAGCTAGGGAGGAATGAATACTGTGTGTGTGTGTGTGTGTGTGTGTGTGTGTGTGTAATTTACACCATCTGTTAATTATTCTAATATTTAAATCAACTGTGTCTTTTCAATTGATTACAAATATTGCATAGACACAAGTAAGAAGCATAATGAGATTCCACTTCACACTTATCAGGATGTCTATTCTTAAAAGAAAGATAAAAGAGAAAATAGGCATTAGTGAGGATGTGGGAAGACCGGGCCCTTGGTGGAGGAAAAGTGGAAATGGGAGTAAATACAGCCATTGTGGAAAACAGGATCCCGGCTCCTCAGTAAGTTAAACACAGAATTAACATATTATCTAGCAATTCCATGTCTGGGTGTTTGTCATTCACCAGAGCCAAAAGGTGGACACAGTTGAAAGGGCCATCAGTGGATGAATGATGAACAAAACCTGGATGATACATACAATTGAATATTCTCCAGCCTTGAATGAAATTCTGATACAACATAAAAGGACCTTGAGGACATTGTGCTCATGCAACGAGCCTAAATCTTGGAAGGGGCCCAGATGGCCATCCAACAGATGAATGCTTAAGTAAAATTGTGGCATTCACACAGTCTACAGACTCTGCATACCACAACAGAGTACTACTGTGACATAAAGAATAAATTTGTCATCTGTAGAAAAAAAAAAAAAAATGGGCCAGGCGTGGTGGTGCATGCCAGCTGTTATCCCACTACTCAGGGGGCTGAGGCAGGAGGATCACCATGAGTTGGGGACCAGCCTGGTCTACATCGTGAACTCAAGGCCAGCCCGAACTACACTGCAAGATACCTGTCTCACAAAAAAAAAAAAAAAAAAAAAAAAAGACACCTTGAGACTGTAATATTAAGAGAAATAAATCAGACACATGAGCTTCAATACTGCATGGTTTCTCTTAGATGAGCAACTCAAAATGTAAATAAACAGTATCATTAGAAACAGATAATAGGGAACAGG